AGTAAACCTAAGTAAAACAGCTTAAAGAAGATCTATGCAGAAGACATGCTGCAGAACCTCTGTGAGACACAACAGAGGTTCTGTCGTCTTTGACTTGTAGCAACGTCTATGCAGAGGACCAGTTTACAGAACCTCTGTGAGACACGACATAGGTTCTGTCACTTGAGACTTGAATGCTTGAGCATCTACTGCTGTTGGTCCTCTGTGGTCTTCTGTGACAGATCATCTTCTGTCAATACTCGCAGTTTACTTTTTCTATATTTTTACATTTAAGGAAATGAGAGCTAACAATGGTAGAGCCTAAGAAAGTCCATGAAGCGCTACAAGACCCAAGTTGTGTTGATGTTATGCAAGAAGAGCTCAAACATTTTGAAAGGAATAAGGTATGGACTCTTGTGCCTTTACCTAAGGATAAAATTGCTATTGGCTGTAAATGGGTCTGCAAAAACAAGAAGGACGAGGATGGGATCGTCGTAAGGAATAAAGCCAGGCTTGTAGCAAAAGGCTATTACCAAGAAGAAGGCATAGACTATGACGAGACCTTTGCGCCAGTAGCAAGGCTAGAAGCTATACGCTTGTTCTTAGCCTTCTCTGCACATAAAGGATTCCGAGTCTATCAAATGGACGACAAATCAGCGTTTTTGAATGGCAAGCTAAAGGAGGAAGTCTACGTTCAACAACATCCATGGTTTGAAAGCTCCACACATCCAGAGTACATCTATTTCTTGAACAAAGCTCTATATGGACTTAAACAAGCACCTCGAGCCTGGTATGAACGTCTGTCGTCTTTTCTCTTATCGAATGGTTTTGAAAAAGGTAAAATCGATACTACTTTGTTCATTAAGAGGTATAAGGGTGAGATGCTTCTAGTCCAGATTTATGTGGACAACATTATTTTTGGTTCAACAAATCCGAGGCACTGTGATAAGTTCCCTACTTTAATGAAGAGCGAGCTTGAAATGAGCATGATTGGAGAATTAGCATTCTTCCTCGGCTTGCAAGTAAAATAGAGGGAGGATGGTATTTTTATTAGCCAGGCTAAGTATGTCTCTGACATATTAAATAAATACCAACTTCACAACTCTTCTAAATGAGAACACCAATCGCAACGAGAACTAAGCTTGACACAGATCCATCTGGAAAACTGGTGGATGTTAAGACTTACTGTGGAATGATTGGATCACTGCTGTACATCACGGCTAGTCGACCAGACATCATGTTTGCTACATGTCTTTGTGCTAGATATTAAGCAAATCCTATGGAATCCCACCTATCTGCTGTGAAAAGAATCTTTAGATACCTTAAAGGAACTCAATTTATGGGTCTCTGGTATCCAAAGTATTCTGGATTTGATCTTATTGCATATACAGATTTCGATCATGCAAGATGCAAACTTGATCCAAAGAGTACATCAAGGAGTTGCCAATTACTAGGAGACAAGCTCAAAAGCTAGACTTCAAAGAAGCAGAACTGCGTATCTACCTCCACTGCTGAAGCAGAGTATGTGGCCACAACCAGTAGCTGTTCCCAAGTAATCTGGATGAAAACTCAGCTGGTATGGCGTTGAGTTTGACAAGATTCCAATTCTGTATCACTCGGAAAGTGCCATTGCAATCACAGGCAATCCTTTGCAACATTCTAAAACAAAGCACATCGACGTACGCTACCATTTCATCAAGGATCATGTAAAGAGAGGTACGATTGAAATATTTTTCGTTAGTACATATCTACAACTTGCTGACATATTTACAAGGCTCTTGATGAAAAGAGATTTAACTTTTTGGTTAGCAAGTTAGGTATGCTCAATCTTTCTAACTAAGACAGGGACTCTGTATGTACTATATAGGACCTCTGCATCCCTTATGAGCATACTTTTGTTTTTTTTAAGTTTTGATCCATGAGACGGAGCCTCTTGCTCAAGTCTAAGTTGTCTTGTGATACAGAGCCTCTGTACCTTGTTCGTCATGCTTGTGCATTACTTATCATATATGATCCAAGCATAGTTTAAGGGGGAGCAGGTCAGGCAGAGCTAAAGTCAAGGGGGTGCGTTAGATCATGCATCATACAGAGCCTCTATATGTACTATACAGAGCATCTGCCTCAAAAACTTTTATGATTATAGGACAGAGCCTCTATATGTAATACACAGAGCTTCTGCCTTTAAACATAACAAGTTTGCTAGACAAAGGACATGTATAGTCCAACCATGAGCCTCTGTATGAGATCGTAAGGTATGTTATCTTTCATTTAAGTACTACTCTGGGTTCTTTCTCAAATTCCTTTACACAATCTAAACACATTAACTCTGTATTGAAATACAAAGCTTCTGTCTCATGGTTGTTTTGTTCAAACCAGAGTATAAATACTTGTTAAAATTCTTCTTCATGTTCTGTTTAAAATATATTATTTTTAAAAGGAAGGCGTACAGTTATTATTTGTTAAATATTATAATTAACTGTCATTTAACAAAGCGTCACTGCCTGTTATATTAATTTTTCAAATCCAGGAGGCGCCATTTGCAGCTGGCAGGCTACGTGTGGCAACTTCCCACAGGTGGTGCGAAAACTGTTTCAGTTTTCTGATGTTTGGGGGGCACATTTCACCCGAGTACTCTATTTTTTTTCTATTTAAGCAAATCCTTTTCCCCCAAATTTTCTTTTACACTTTAAAAAATATTCAAGAACTCGTCGTCTTCAAGCTCTCAAACCGCCATTGAAATTTCTTCAAGCTCTCACACCATTTTCTGGAACTGCAATCTGTGGTGGAATCTTTCAACTTTGTTCTTTAAGTAAGTTAATCAAACCATTTCTCCAGCCCAGTTAACGAATCAAGAACAGATTCTTTTCAAACCATAACTTTTCAAAATCCTCTTTCAAAAACCTGCAACTATGTCTTCTTCAGACTCAGGGAACTCTTAAACCCACACAAGTACCCTCAAGAATGTTGAGGAAACCAGCCAAAATGTGGTTCCTCTCCCACTCAAACCAAATAACCATGCCCTTCAACTCTCTTTAGACAGCTTTGACCAAAAATTCCATCCTGTTATCGATATCCCTCAACACCATTTCTTGAACCCTGCCCTGACGAACACTGATGATCTTGTCCCTGAAAGATTCATCCAAGAATTCTGACAAACTTGCTCAGTTACTGACTCCCAACGAGGGATTGTTGGAGATTTTTATGTGCCATCTACAAAGGAGTTCATCACTGTCCGAATTTCAAGGTCCCTGTTCTCCCCAGTTTTTCAAATTCCTACAAAGACGGATCTTGGGCTGAATGAATATGCCCCTCTCCCATTTGGGGATGAAATTGTGTCATTCTGAAAGTTCTTAGGTACAACAAAGCCATTATGTACCCTTCTCAATACCGATGATAATACCTGCCCCCAATGTGGAACACCATGTTCACATTGGTGAATCGCTCTTTGACCGGGAAGATTGGAAGCTTGGACATGTGCTCAACCAACATCCTCCAGATAATGTATGGCATCTTCTTGAACCTATCGTTGGATTACTCCTTGATTCTCTACACAGAGTTCAAGGCTGCTGTAGCCAAGAAGTGCCAAGAGGTGGCTAAGGGAAAGGACTTGCCAGCACTTCTGTAAGATTGGAATAGAGGATACTCAAAGGCCTCAGGTAGAGGAGGAGGAGGAGGTAAGATTGGAGAAAGAGAGAGAGAGAAAAAGAGAAAGAGGGAAGAAGCTAGGAAGAAGAGAATGGAAAAAGAGAGAATGAGCAAGGAAAAGGAGGACAGAGCAGAAAGAGCACGACTTGAAGAAATTGCTCGTGTACAAGCAGAAGAGGAGAGGGTAGAAAGAGCAAGACAAGCAAAGATTGCTCGTCTAAAAGAAGAAGAGAGAATCAGAGCAGAAGAAAAAGCCACTCGAGGCTTGGAGCACTTCTCTAGCTCTGATAAATATGATGACCAAGAACATTTTGGTGATGTTTCTGGGTCAAATACAACAAGTGAAGAGAGTGAAGAGGAAGAAGAAGAAGAAGATGATGATGATGAGGAGGGAGGAGGTGAAGCAGAGCCAGAGCAACCTAGGATGTTGAATAGGCACATTTATTTCCCTAGCCCAACTCCTAGAGCTACCACTTCATCTGACTCCAGTGGTCAAGACATAGAGATCATTGAAACAGAGGTGCACACCTCGAACCCAAATCTGCCAAACCAACCAGAGGTCGCATCTGCCTCTGGTCAATTAAGCCAAAGGGAAGCCACGTATCAGGGATCACCCTCTCAAAAGGGTGAAACCTTTGAAATGATAAGTGATATGTCTCCCCATATCACGCCACTATCCCAACCAGAGGAATTCGTTTCCTCTGCACCAGTAGTTTCCACACCTTGTTTAGAGCAAGGTTTAGGTGCACACGACTTAGAGATTCTCGACCAATCTCTTAGTCCACTCGTGGAGGGTCCTTTGGCTGGCTTTGAACCTGCCTTAGAACCCTTCATGATGAAACAGCAGTAGTGGCCTCTCCTCCAAGAGAGCCACAAGGATCTGCTGGAAATCCTTCCTCGACTATCATCCCACAAGTCGAGGCATAAGGTATCCTTCGAACGAGGACTCAATTTGGCCCATGTGTTGAGCTAGAGGTTACCCCAACAGCTTATGTCACAAGGGACGAGTTCCAGTCCTTTGCCACCACTATGTTGTGCTCCTTGGAAGAGCTAAAATTCAACATGGCCCATGTAGAGCCATCTCTTTCTGCATCTGCTCTGGATGAGATTCGAGCATCCTTAGTAGTATTGAGGGCTGAGTCAAGAGTGAATGCCTCTCGACTAGACACCCTCCAAGAATTGAGGCTCAAAATGCAAAGGCCTTGCAAAGGGTCATAGCATGCATTCAGAGAGATGGAGCTTCCCCTTCATCTCACGACGCCCAAGCGCTCATTCCTCTGAATGTCCCTGTGGACTACGTCACCCAGTCGGCCATGAATACTTTGGATGACCCTCTCCTCAAGAAGGTGGCAAATTTCACCTTAGACTACAACAGCAAGGCCACGGAGGCAGCAGAATCGATACGGCGTTCATTGACGGCCTTCAGCTATCACACAGATATGGAGATCCTCAGAGTCTCGGATGCCGCAGAAGAGATCCTCAAACTCTTTGAGGAAAAAATAAAATCCATGCCCCAAGCAGAAGAGCAAAGGCCAAAGAGGATAATGGAACCGTCTGTATATGCTTCGACCTTAAAGAGAATGAGGCTTGACGACGATGAGGATCCAGACATGTCTGGCCCTCAAAGTCGTCAAGAGAGGGAGACTCCACCCACAGCCGCTCCAAGTGTCACACCAAGGGCTGCCCCCTCTGCTTTCTCTGCCTCTGCCCCAAGCCAGCCAGCACCAAAGTCATCACGGAGAGAGCATAGAATGAGCCAGCCCATGCAGAGGCGCTAAGAAAAGGAAAGATGCCCATGGCATCGCATGCAGAGCCGGAAGGACGACAAAAACATGAAGATGTCATCCAGCTCTTATCCGTTTACATATCTTCCTCTGAGTTAGAAGAGCCTCTGTCTTCTTCCCTAGAGTATGCAATGGACACTGCTGCTCCATCAACATGGGGGCATGAAGAAGAAGAAGTGGTAGCCGTAAACGTAGCCGATCCATCACTCACGGCCATTCCTGTTGTTGTTCCTCTTGAAGGTGTCACAATAGCTTCACCACCACCACCAAGGAATACACACAGAGCTAGGGTCCCTGCTCAAGGGACCAGAGTAGTCACTCCAACTATGAGGCAGAGGATTCTTGTCAAACCAAGAAGACCAGAAGAAGGCGTAAGCAGTAGGCCTCGGAGCACCAATCGTGTAACACCTCCGTCCCGCGTGGTCAAAGACGGGAGATGTCACAATTGGGATAAAAACAACGTGCTATATAAAACAGAGTAGCAAATAAAATTTACCAAAAGATAATTACATAACCATAGACGGAGATAACGTGTCTCAAAATACGGTCCCAAAATATTAGTATGTCTACATTAGTCATCAAAAGTTTAATAAAAGTATGACTTAATGGGTTATCTTCAATATTGTCATCTCCATAGCTCTCATCCCAAAATCCCTGCTAAGTCATGTAGCTGCCGAGGACAAGAAAATCTCAGCTGAGCTTAATGCTCAATGAACGGATAATAATAATTAAACAATGAATATGAGATAACAAGTTCAAAAGCAATTTATAAAGCCAAGTGATAATCCAAAAGAAAGTCAAAATGCCCCAAAAGCATGTCAAGGGTCCGAAGACCAAATCGCATAACGAGGACGCATTGTTCCCAAAGGATGATCAGTCCATTCAGGCACAAGTGAGGAAAGGGRTGTGAGCACAACACATCAATCCTCTCCGTGGATTTAACCACGACCATAAYTCAATATCYGATAACKGTTCCTAGGATCGATCCATACGCCCTCTATTCGACYGGTACATAATCAAGTCCACTTTTAAGGACTATAAAAATGAGGACGCCATGATCGTTTTAGTCACCATGGAAACATCTCAATACTGGTGCTCCAGTTATTGAGTCTATAGTAAATTATTCCACAAATGAAGCAACAAAACAAGTCAAATGATCAAAATAATCCATATTCCGAATAAGAATATAAGTCGTAGATCAAAAGGAAACAAAGTTCAATAACATTTGATAAGCATAAAGGAAATTCAAAACAAATTATTCGGGATTTATCACAGATTATCCGGATTAGGAAGCCTTACGCAAATGGCTATCCCCGTGTCAAGTGAGATATGAAATTCATACCTTAACTGAATTTGACAATTAACGCACGATCAAACGAAAATTCACGATCAAGTTTGATTTCTCCGCGTGCCTAACGAATGTGTAAACGGGTTACTATTTATAAAGCATAGAAACCATAATATAACTATTCTAATAAAATTACTTAGGTCTTAATATACTTAAACAATGTAGACTTCAAGAAGGACAGCCGGATACGAATTGGAAACTCAAACGTAAAACTTAGCATTATTCTCTTTCGATCCAACCGTTTCTGACCCTCTTATTTCTAAGCATTCTTATCTTACTTAGAGACCAATCCAGATTATATTTTCTAAATCAAAGTTGTAGATTGGTATCATACGAGCTTTTGAAATCATCTCATTTGGATCATCCATCTATTTTATATGAATTTCACAAAACTGTAAATTAATCCCGAATATAGTGTAAACAACCCTAAAAACACACTGTTTCGATCCACCTAGAGTCATAACTGGATTTTCGACCCTTCATGAAAGTTGTAGTATGCAGTAAGATCTTTCTTTCTTCAAAATATGAGCTTATTCCGACTTACGGTTTGTGATTTATACACTACCAAAGTACAAGAGTTACATTGTCGAAAAAATTCGATTCCGTAATTCCCGACTAACTTTTATGATCCAACTTTCATGATTTGCTACATTTACATGCTATAAACGTACTTCAACATACTAAACAGTAAAACAAGTTCAATGGTCGTTAACCTAAGCTTAATCATGCATTTTTACTCCTTTCGACATTTAACCGAACAATTGGTGTACGGTTAAACATATACCCACAATCTAACCATAATAAAACTATAATATACCCTTTTTATTTCTACATCAATATAACCAGTMCTAGCATCCTAAGCATCAAATATATCATAATTTTGACAATATCAATCCGTAAACTTAGATATAAACACAGTTTATAAACCGGTCTAAATAACCCTAACATAAACACCTTAATAAAATTGAATGAAATTTATATCTTTAAGAAGGATTCGGAGAGTGGATTCCGAATATATATTTGTTACTTCGATTTCCTTAGTAACTTGATGTGAAATTCAGATAGAAGACGAGAGATTTTGAAGAGAGAAATAGGACGAGAGAAATACAGAGCATGAGGCGGTGATAAAAGCCGTCGTTCATGCATACTTGCATATATATAATTTTTTTTTCCTTAATTATATATATATATATATATATATATATATAAAGTTTAATTATTTGGCGGTTTTAACCCCTTTAAGTCTAGATTCTTAAGTTTATGCCAATATAGATATAAACTTATTTTTGACATAAAACTAGCTTGAGGTACAAGTTGGTTAAGTATAGGGTACAAATATGTTATGCATAATTTTACCAAAAGTTCACTTAACCCAATTTGTACGAGTTAACCGAACACGGATATTATAATCCTCCCCTCCTAAAAAGAATATTTCGTCCTCGAAATTTAGATAGGGTTAGAGGATTTACATGACTCAAAATTTTTTGGGTACTCCTTCCACATAGATTCCTCCGTTTCCCATGTGGCTTCTCTTTCAGAATGATTTTTCCATAACACTTTAACGAACGGTATTGACCTTCATCGCAATTGTCTCTCTTCTCTATTAATTATTTCCTCGTGTTCTTCAATATAAGAGAGATTTTCTTCAACTTTGTCCAACGGATAATCAATCACATGGAGAGGGTGATAATGATATCCGCGGAGTGACGAGATATGGAAAACGTTATGGATATGTGATAGTTGAGGAGGTAACGCTAGGCGATATGCCACATCTCCAACCCGTTCCAGTATTTCGAAGGGTCCGATATATCTTGGACTAAGTTTACCTTTAATTCCAAACCTACGAATACCTCGTAACGGTGAAACTTTTAGAAAGATGTGATCACCCGATTGGAACTCTAAATGTTTTCGATGCTTGTTAACGTAACTTTTCTGCCGAGATTGAGCCTCTATCATTTTCTGTTTTACGATCTCGACTTGTTCAGTAGTAATCCGGACAAGTTCGGGTCCTTCGATAGCTCGTTCCCCCACTTCATTCCAATAGATCGGTGTTCTACATTTCCGACCATATAAAGCTTCGTACGGGGCCATGCCGATACTAGCTTGCCAACTATTGTTATACGCGAATTCCACAAGATATAGAGACTCGTCCCAACCACCAGACCACTCAAGAGCACAAGTCCATAACATATCTTCTAGAGTTTGAATAGTTTGTTCAGCCTGACCATCTGTTTGTGGATGAAAAGCCGAACTCATAGTCAATCGTGTACCCCAAGCCTGGTGAAGACTTTTCCAAAATCGAGAAGTGAATTGCGGATCTCGGTCTGATGTGATAGAAACTGGCGTGCCATGCAACCTCACGATTTCCTGCTGGAATAGATCGGACAGTTTACTAATAGGGTACGTCTGCTGTATAGGTAGGAAATGAGCCGATTTTGTCAAACGGTCAACTACTACCCATATAGCATCATGT